GACAAGGATAGATTGCATCTATTATTCTTAATTTTGGGACATGTTGCTTTTTCTTGAGCAGTTTTTGATGAAGATAAGACTTTTAAGTTTCCTGGACTGTTTAGGAGCTCTATTTTTTTGTTTTGTTTTTACGTTCTCATCATGATGTAGCAGGTCCTTTGCAGAATGTCGCTCTCATCACAGTCTGCCTGAAAGAAACTCGGTCTCTCGTCAGTTCTCCCGCCTCATGCACTTTCACACTCAAGGAGTCACTTATATCCTGTGCCCATCTTCGTGTCGGTCGGCCCCTGCCCCTCCTTCCTGGTACTATACATTTCGCTATAATTTTTTCCAATCCGTCTTGGTGCTTGATATGATCAAAATATTTCAGCTTCCGAGAAAGGATGCTGTTTATTAGCTAATCTTCCTTGATTGTCAGGTCTTTTAGGATGTCAATATTTCTCATCTTCTTTGTCCAAGATATTCTGAGAATCTTTCTGTAGCATTTCAGCTCTGTGACGTTCTAGTCTTCTAAAATGTTTGTGTTTGTAAAATTGTGAAGCTGACTTGTTTTACTTTTTGTTTACTTTCCATACTTTTCGATGTTATTCTCAAAGTAGGGTTTTCTACAAACCTTATGTCACTTGTTAGCTTTAAAGTCTTTTGTGTGTGTTAAAAGTTCGGAATGATTAATTTGCCTAAGGAATAGACTAAATATGTGATTATCTCTCATTTTAACCACGTAACCCTCGACATTCACCAGCTAAGAGATCCACCACCTAAGACATCCACTACCTACGACATCCACTAACTACGACATCCACCACCTACGACATCCACCACCTACGACATCCACCAGCTAAGACATCCACCACCTACGACATCCACCACCTACGACATCCACCACCTACGACATCCACCACCTACGACATCCACCACCTACGACATCCACCACCTACGACATCCACCACCTACGACATCCACCAGCTTAGACATCCACCAGCTACAACATCCACCACCACGAGTGTAAAAAATACATAAAACATCAATGATTCGATACACGTGAACCCTGGAGCCTTTGGCGCTTCTCCCTGCAGTTCTTTTATGTTGTGTACACAGGCGCCTGTGGCGCCTCAGTTACTCAAAACACGTTTCAGAAACAACACTTTTCACTCAAAAGACTACCGAAAAAAAAAAAAAAGCTGCGCAGTTTTATCTGGGAGACAGTGTGCCGACCACGTCCAACAAACGCCCGACACTGTCGACCACCCTGTGTATTGACACCGACGAGAGGCATCTCAAAACACCCCTAGAAGATAGAACAGCCCGTGGAAACGCGCACGAGATCTCGCGCGAGAGCGAGTAAGGGTGAATTCCGTGATTAGTACCAGAAAGAGCGAGAGAGAGAGAGAGAGAGAGAGAGAGAGAGAGAGAGAGAGAGAGAAAGAGAGAGAGAGAGAAAGAGGGAGAGAGAGAGAGAGAGGGGGGGCGAGAAAATGATAAAACATATATATTTAATTGGTATAAACACTCATGAGACATATACATACAACATAATACTTACTCATATATGTGTCAATATGTATGTGTGAATATAACATATATTTATGTCTTAATGTATGTGTGTATTTCTAGTGAATATTCATAGTGATTGTGAAAACGAATATATATATATATATATATATATATATATATATATATATATATATACATATATATATATATATATATATATATATATATATATATATATATATATATATATATATATATATATATATATATATATATATAGAAGGAACGGTTCCTTTTCTACGCCTCTAGGCATATAGGTCATATAGTACTAGACCTTTATTTTATAGACTAATCGGCACAAGATGGGTGATGTGATTAGCATCACACCGGAAGCCTTAACTGGACTGTACCTGGTACCCACTCAAAGCTGGGTCGACCTGGGAGCCAAGGTCATTTCTAAAAAAAAAGTCTAACACACACACACACACACACACACATATATATATATATACACACACATTGTGTGTGAGCGAGAGAGAAGGTGTGTGTGTTACTGAGCGCCTACAATTATTAGGGACGAGACATTCTTACGGCTACCTGACAGTTGGGCAAAATGGCATGGACATATCTGTAGACCAGTGTTGCATGGCTGTTACTTTCGCTGGGGCTTGTGAAGAATATCAAGTTGATGATCCCCAGTAGGAACACCAGCACCACGGTTGACTTGATTGTTCGACTGAAAATGGACATGCAGAAGGATTAGAGTGAAAAGATATAAAACAATCGAAAAGTAGGACGAGTAAGATTCACATTTTTACAAATACAAACGACAAGTAAACGTTGCGGCTAAATAGCCTTCATCGGCACATTAAATAAATAAACAAAATTACATAGTCACATAATTGACGTATTCCTGATAAAAGTCACATTGCTGTCCAGTCAGTTTAATGATAGACACCTTTGGCCGCAGAGATTGTATACTAGCCATAGAACGCCAAGGGCTGTAACCCAAAGATACTAGATACAAATGTGTTGAAGGTTAAGTCCCCTAGGCGAATTTGCGCCAGTGAAAGAAAATAGTGCAACAGTGCTGGCTTGAGGGCACTGTTCTGTACAACAAAACATGCTGTTTGAACATGTCAGCTAGTCAAAGCCCATCATACCCCATCTTTTGCAGATAATGGACTAAATAACATTGCGGCTCGTGCAATGGAAAGCGTCATGTATGTGGGACGTGACATTGCGAAAATCCAGACTACACACCTCAACCACACACGGACAAGTCCTAAATACAGGTCTATGGCAAGAGATAACGACTAAGTGGAACTCAGAAAAGGGACGTAACCGACTCTTGACAGGAACGACCTTGAGGTTATGGTCATGCCTGACTTTTAACTTGATCGTATGAATGATAATCAACAGAGAGAGTGAATGCAGCAGCATGTCTTCATGTCTCACTCTTGACTTGATTGTACGAATGAAAACTGACACACATAAGGAGTTTAACAACAGTCTGACTCTTGAGATGATTTCGCTACTACTTATAGGCGTACAAAAGGATTGCGGCAATATGTCTGGTTCTTGGATTGTTTGTGAGAATGACATCGGCCACACAGATGGACTGCATCTGTATAAGTGTCTTACTACGTCCTCTTCAGCACGCAATTTTTTCTTATTTGGGGCCCAACTCTGGCTTTTGCCAGGGGCCGCAATATAGGCAGGCCATCAATATGGCCAATTGTCTGAACGCGGTTTCTGCCACCTCTCCACGGTGATCCTCATCCGCATGGTGGCACTTTGTGTCATCGGGTGTTTATCGCTTGTGTGATGTCCTAGTGGGGTAGAAGGATTGGATTGGATTTTTTACCCCACCAGGACATCACACAAGCGATAAACACCCGATGACACAAAGTGCCACCATGCGGATGAGGATCACCGTGGAGAGGTCCCAGAAACCGCGTTCAGACATTTGGCCATAATGATGACCTGCCTATATTGCGGCCCCTGGCAAAAGCCAGAGTGGGGCTTCAAATAACAAAAAATTACGTCCTAAAAAGGACATAATGATTGAAGCAATATATAATAATGGGGTAGAAAGTCAGTCAGTCAGTCAGTCATAAGTGTCTTACTCTTAAAAGTACGACTAAAAATGAGCATACTGAAGGACTGTAGTACAATGACTATCTTTTGATTCGATGGTGCGACTGAAAATAGACACACAGAAGGATCCTAGCAAGATGCGTGATACTTGACGTGATCGGCAGCCTCGGTAGCGCTACGGCTAGACTCTTACCTATCGACCTGAAAGTTTAGTATTCGCAGCAGGAAGGATTTAACGTCACTGACTTTGGCTGCCGGCTCGATCTAACATAACCAGAAGTATGAAATGTCCTTCAGAACAGGCTGGTCTATTCAAAAAATGAAGGTGCCAGCATGTGATCACTGCGGCGTACAGATTTGTGGAGGAAATCTTGACCACAGACGCTGTCAGATTTCGTAAAGCATGCTCAGAAACGTGGAAACAGGTTTTTGATTGTTTGAATCTGAAGCACCACCCTGACATTTGCCAGGGGCCTTGATTATAGCAAGACTATGAATATGACCTAACTCAGCAAAGCCGGACTGCACCAGCCAAGCCTGATCGAGCAGACATGGCTCAGCAGCAAACACCCTAACTTAAGTGAAAGTGATCGCCGCAACGAATCGAATTAAACCAGATAACAAAGAAACAGTCTTCAATAAAGCAGGCTGTCGGGCAACTGAAAGAGGACCAAATTTGACATTTTTGTTTCGTTTTTACGATTACAATTACGACTAAGAGAACTGGACCAGACCAGACACAAACCCGTAAATAACAGATCGGACTTGGGAAGACAAAGAACAAGAAAATCAGGTGTGAATTCACACCACGAATAACAGGAAACCAAATAAGATAGCCAAGGAACCTTCCTTCATATAGCAGGCCTCCGGGCGGCTGAAAAAGAATCAAATTCGGAATTTTTGTTGGACAACTGGAATTGGAATTGGAATATGGCCTTACATACTGTGTAATTTGAGAAGAAGCTGTATGAAAAATGTCAGTAAACTGTCACATACAAGCCCATTCTGTATTTGTTTATATTGCATAAATGGAATCCAAGAAATGTGGCTGGATACACACATCATACTTACATCAGACTTTCTCCTCGCTTCATATCCTCTCTAGAGGGTAACAGTGTAATATTCAGACCAAGGACAGGACACAACAGACTTCGCTAACATATGGTCAACCTTTTCGGTGTAGGAAACAGAGACTTGTCCCTGTAACTTGGCACTAGAAAATGCTAAACATATCCTTTAACACTGCCAACTAACTATATGCTGCCGATCTAGATTGTTCTAATCACAATGACGACAACGCTGAGATATTGACTACTCGATAGCTTTCATAAACACGATATAACTCATGGGATTAAGTTTTCTGACAAAAGGATCAAAGAACAAGAAGTCAGCAATAATGTACTCAC